GATCTTACAACTACAAGGATATTATGTAAGAGAATATCAACAAGCTGGTGGTAGTGGTACTTGTAGCATATGCTGGTGACATCGTTGCCACATTATCCTAACTACAGTTGATGGTTATTGACAAACTGGGGGTATGCTGGTCTCTCTCTCTCTCTCTCTCTCTCTCTCTCTCTCAGCTCATAACGAGGAAGGTGACAGAAATAGGCAATGTTTTTCGTCTAGGGTTGATTTCCGGAACCGGCTGTCTCATTCCACTTTTTTTTCTTCTTCGGAATGGTAAGAAAAATGTTGCACCGAAAAAGTGGAGTTTTTTTTGTGATTTTCGTTTTTATTTAATCGTTTTTATTTTATTTATTTATTTTATTTATTTATTTATTTATTTATTTTATATATTTATTAATTTATGTATTTATTTATTTTATTTATTTATTTATTAGAGGGTTGACTGCCTTCTCCTCGGGGGGTAAATGTCGCCGTTCATACCTCACCCTCCAAACACACACACTTCACCCTCCAAACACACACACCTCACCCTCCAAACACACACATCTCACCCTCCAAACACACACACCTCACCCTCCAAACACACACACTTCACCCTCCAAACACACATACCTCACCCTTCAAACACACACACATCTCTCCACCCTCCAAACACACACCTCACCCTCCAAACACACACACACCCTCACCCTCCAACACACACACCCCACCCTCCAAACACACACACTTCCCACCCTCCAAACACACACACTCCCACCCTCCAAACACACACACTTCACCCTCCAAACACACACCCCACCCTCCAAACACACACACCTCACCCTCCAAACACACACACCTCACCCCTCCAAACACACACACTTCACCTCCAAACACACACACCTCACCCTCCAAACACACACACCCCACCCTCCAAACACACACACCTCAATCTCTCCAAACACACACACACCCCACCCTCCAAACACACACACCTCACCTCCAAACACACACACCACCTCCAAACACACACACTTCACCTCCAAACACACACACACCTCACCCCTCCAAACACACACACCCTCACCCCCAAACACATACACTCCCCACCCTCCAAACACACACACCACCCTCCAAACATACACACTTCACCCTCCAAACACACACACCCCACCCTCCAAACACACACACTTCCACCCTCCAAACATACACACTTCACC